CTTGATGCCTCTGTACCAAAAACATTCAATTTATTGGAACCTAATACACACTAAAGGCAACAAGTTTATATACCAATTTGTCATTCATAGTACATTTATACTAAACCATGAATAACAATACCTCAATATAAATTAAAGACTGCCACTCAATATTTTTAAATATATGAAAAAATAAAAAAAAAATAAAAAAAAATCATGATTTTTTTATAAAAAAAATCAAGTGATTTAATTACATTTAATCATTTTGATTTAATCATTGCCAACCCTGCATCTAGCGCCCTACAAATAGCATATGGAATTTTTTCAAGATGCCATTCGATAGCCCTCGCAAAGAACTATAAAATGAGCCTAAACTTGTTTCTGAAGTGTTTCATGGTAGGAAGTTATTAACAAAAAATGCTCAACACCGTCCCTTTCTACCCCATTTGACGGTATATACAAATAAAAGACTGATTTTTATATGTATAAGTGGATAATTTTTGAGATTGGTAGATAAAAGTAAACATCCATGTAGGGAAGGTAAAATGTAAAAATAACTACCTTTTATTTACTGTATCTAACCTGAACTAGTTTGGTTAAGTTAATTGCAATAAAGTTGCATTGATATGTTTTGAAAATGTTCATTATCATTAAATGTTTATGAGTAAATCCCAACAGCAGATCAATAAATATTTAGAGATTTCCAATAATTTTGGCCATTGTGGCGTTGTTACGTTTTACTGTAGTGGTAGCACTCGCTACAATCTAGTGGGTGTAGCGGTAGCGCCCGCTAATTTTGAGCATGTAGCGGTAGCACCGCTACATTTCAAAGTAGTGCTGCCCAGCCCTGATGGTAGTTTTCATTATGATCCATCCATAAATAATTTTTTTCCAACCAACAAGCCCCCCTTAAAAAGTTAAGAAGTTATGGAGCAATTATACAAATTTTATATACCGGTATACATATATATAACCAATAGTTTCACATCATGCACCTTGGTCTAATCAAGTGTTGCAATACATTGTACAGCAATCCCTTGATTAACGCGGTTAATAAATCCCCGAGTTTTACCGTGTTAAGCAAAACCGCGCTAATCAAACTTAAGAATATATGGGAATAATTATAATGAATCCTCAAAAATAGCAAAGTTACACCTGTCTCTTATACACATCTTATCNGCGACTTTCTGAACACCCTTTCTTCTAGATGTCCCCAAATAAAGAAATCGCAACTGCTCAAATCAGGTGACCTCGCAGGCCACTGTAAATAACCCCTCAGAGACACCAGACCTCCGGGAAACATGCGTTTCAAAATATTGAGTGACATTTGGGCTGTGTGAGCTGTAGCCCCATCCTGCTGAAACCAGATGACTCCCAATGCTTCATTTTCAACAATGTTTTCCATCCTGGGCTGCAAGGAATCTTGCAACATTGCAGCATAGCATTCAGAATTCACTGTTACGGTTACTCCTTCCAAGAACGACTAACAGTGTGTTGCAGCTAACGGACACCATCTTCCAGATATTGTTCTTAGAACAAGTATTCTAAACAGTATGCTATGCTAACCTCTCGTAAAATAAACTTTCTTCTTTATGTACCTCCATTACTCTTATTTTGCCTCAAAACTGCTCGATTGGTTCTGCCCCACCCTGTATTTTGAGAGGTTGAGATTGTATTGACCTTTTAGGCAATTGGAAAGATTTTGCACCCTAATACGAGTTTTCTAATTAAAATATTCAATTTCAATCTTTAAATATGTGAATTTAACCCTTTCGTGACTGACAGGACTGTGACGTCCACTCAATGTTTTACTTCATAACTTGCATACAGCATACCATTCGAGGCATAGCTAACTACAGGGACACATGAGTAACACTCCTGCGCCTATGTCAACTCAAAAGTAATTGACTGAAGGGACTGTGAAGTCCCGCCCAACGATTTACTCTATAGCTTGCATGTAGCACTAAATTCAAGGCATAGCTAACTACAGGGACATATTAGAAACACTCCTGCGCCTACATATGTCCAATCTAAAGGAATATTAATATTTGTTTGTTTTGGAATATGTTATTATATAAGCTATTACATGCGTTTGCCAAAGGAAGTTTGTGATATTATGCAACTACTAGCAAAAAATATTACGAAAATATTTTTTTATCAAAATCAGTGTTATTGCAAATTCTGCCCCTCCGGTTGGAACCATATACTACCGGGATTTTCTAGTCCCAAATATATAATTTTTACCATTAACATATATTTAATTATTTTTTACGGAGATGCAATATTCGGTCCAAGTTCATGATGATTCTGTAGAAAAATACAAATAAAAAGTTGTAAAACACATTGCCGTCACTAAAGGGTTAAAACTAGAAACAAAACAATTACAATTATAAAACTATATATAAAATAATTAAATGTAGTGAATGGAAATAAAATGTTTGAATTGAGCACATGTTCATTTCAAACATGAGTGTTAGCATTTCTCATAACTTAAGTCTCGTTTCATGTCGTTTGAGCCTTGAGGTTTGTTTGGTTATCATTCAGTTCATGTTTGTATTGGTTTATAGGTCTGAATTAAATGGGTACAGTGCAGTCAGTCACTCAAGTCACTACTAGTTGGTGTGTATAGAGGGTAGAGTCTGGTAGATTTATAGGACATAAAACTAGTAGATCTATTTTGATAGTGCTGTGCACTGTGCCATGCAGCCATCAGCTACCTATCTGTTATGTTACTCTTCAATGTTTAGAAGATCTGCATTCCTCAATGTATTTTGTATATTGAAGCCAGTTAAATGGTCAACATTTAGCTTATTACCTTGCTCCATACATACTTTATGAAGCTAATAAATAGACCTATCAATAATTGTTTACCCAAAAATCCCGAAGTGGTAAACACCACCTTGGCCATTATTGAAGGCAATAAGTGCCCTTTTTAGCCATCCATCATGATCCATATGATATACTGTTATTGCTAGTAGGCTAATTGCAACTAAAAAATAATCTTTCAAGAAGATAAAAAAGCTGGAAAAATAAAAAATAAAATCAAATAGCTAAAAAAAAATCCTGAAAAAATAGACTCTTCATGGCTGAAGCCTGAGATATGGAATTCATGGCTCACAGAAATGAGAAATGGAATCACTGCCGGCATATCCATAATACCACAGATTGAAAATTCAGTCGTGGCTCATCACAGTGGCAAACCAGTGATTTTTTAGAATCAGTTCATTTTTAATTTTCTCATTTACTCAAGATTGTAACAGATTTCTTATGTAGCTATGATAATTCTGGTATCCAAGATACTTTACTGGTCTACTTATACTCTTATAGGGACTCAAAAATGAACTTGAGGAAGAGTCTAAAAAACTCTCTGCTTTGCCACTATGTGGCTCATCAAGTTATTCAAGTTATTCCATGCCTGTGGCCATTTGCAGTAGCTAGGCTAGGTAGGCCTACAATGTTTCAGCTCCAAAATCACTGTCACTTCCTCCACATTTAGGTACCAGTCTTCTACTGGCTTAGAAGGAATTTAGGATTAAAAAAAAAAAAAAAAAAGGCTTACTACAGGAAAAAAGGAAGAAGAGACATCCAATGACCTTGGTAATGCACAACAATGGCCAAGGCAAGCCGCAAGAGTAGGCTAGAATTGTTCACCCAAATCAAAGGACCATCGACTTTTGCAACTCAGCAACGGACAACCAGAAAGCTATTGTGAAGTTTTTTTTAAATACACGGGTATACACCTACTTTCAACAAATATTTGAAAAATCACAGGCTTCCTTGCTACATAATGAAAATTGAAACGAGTACAATTTACAAATGTAGCCTAACCATAACTTTAGCACACGGAGTAAAGTTCCGAATTGCCATACATACTAACATAGTAGCTAGATACCTAGTATTAATTAAGTTCTCTACAGCCAGGAAAAGTACATAAAAGAGAGACATCGGAGGTAGTAATGAGATTTTAAATTTAACATACCTTACGACCAAAGACCTGAACGGCCTGCAAAGGCTCTTTTTTAGTCATTTTAAATATTTTTGGATCCTACACAGAATTTGTAATGCCTCTCCTCACCGATACATTCACAACAGAAACAACGAGTGTTGCCACGAGCGATAAGTCCTGACGCTCTCTAAGAATATATTCCACAATTTCAATTCATTAGCGGATAATTTTACATTAAATGAAATTGAATACAATCATTGTAAATGATTTTATATATATTTTTAGCCACCTGTTATCACTAATAAATTAACGGTGAATGCAGTAATAAGTCATAACTCGCTGGAATGGTACTTGATTAAATTTGTTCATAAATGTCTTTAGGAAAAAAATTGTATGACACTATTTGAATATAAATTTTCAACGAAATAGGCTATTACTTTTACAATAACTATTAGTGGATATAATTATGGTTGACAATGCGGTATGGGCTTCGCAATTTTGGTCCTCTAGGTAAGTATGGAGACGTCTATTTACTGAATCGACACTTTAGCATAGCATAGCATGAATCGACGCAGATGATTAGGCCGACGAGGGCCTGTCGTCGAGTCTCGTCGTCTTGCATTCAAACAAACTGCTAAAAAAATGGCCACGTGGCCACGTCAAGTCAAAAAAATTCGCAACGTGCGCTCCCTAAGAGCGCCCAGTCCGATTGTCCAGTGATCGCACTCTGGTGGGAGGCTCCTCCACACTGAACATATAACTACGCATAACTGAGTCATGTCGATTATTGAAGGCGTTCAGCGTTGTCGCCTCGGCAATCTCCGCTGGCAGGCCGTTCCACCGATCAACCACACGATGAGAGAAGAAGTGCCGCCTCGCAGTAGTATTACACCTTGGTTTCTTTATTTTAAACAGATGGATATAATTATGGTTGACAATGTGGTATGGGCTTCGCAATTTTGGTCCTCTAGGTAAGTATGGAGACGTCTATTTCATGAACGCAAGCTAAGGATACAAAATACACTTCCGTGAATGGAGGGAAAACGTTAAATCATTCGAATTAAATTGTAATGCGTGATATATATTAGCCACGCATTGTGCAAGCATAACTTTAAAATCCATCAGAGGTTGTTGAAACTCATACCATGGCCACGATGGCCACGACCACGAGCCAGTATTGCACGGTTAGTCTTTCAGTCATGCTAAACCTGTCTTATATGAGTCTTGGAAAATTATATTGATGATCATGGAAAGTCATGGATTTTTTTCTAAATACCGGTACGAACCCTGAATATAGTGTGCGTGCAAACTCTTCATATTATTGTTATCAAAATATATGTAGCTGAAACGCTGATTATCAACTAATATAATAGAAATAATAATAGCGGTTTCAGCGTTTATTAGGCCGTAGGCCTGTCGCCGATTCTTAATATCGCAGAACAATCACAGCATTTTGAGGTCTCGAACTCGCAACGCACTGCTACAATTCTGCTGTGCTTAACCACCCGGCCTCCTTGCCGATTCTGACCAGAAACTGGCGCACAGAGCTGGGATCGAACCCGCGCCTCTCTAGTGCGTCAATCTTGGTACTCGGAACTTTAACCACTGGGCCACCCTGCTAACTATTTATAAATAATTGAGTCTATCTGACTTTATTTTAGTCTATATATTTAGATTCATGCAAATAAATACTGCAGGTGCAAAATAACTGCATTGGCATGCACGAGTTATTCTTTGCTAGTAAATCTTACTCGTTGTATGTTGTTAGATAAACCGACACACATCGACCGGTCGGACATCGATTGTGTGTGGTAGAGAGCATCAAGTGACATAAAGTGGGCTTACGGATACTGCATAGTGATGCCGCTGATGCGAATTAAAAAAAAATCGTCGATATTCAATGTAAATAATATGCGTTTAAAAATTACTTTTTATTTAAAGACAACACTTCTAAAGAATCCAGTGTCTCCGATGTTACACATGTACAAGGAATTTCTAATTTTGTTATCAAATATTACAAAAATTTATTTTTAAATTTTTTAAATAAAAAATCAAAATTTTCAAAATTATTTATTCTGTCAATTGATTTATGCATTGCCTTTGACTTTACACAAGTGTGGAAAATTCAGATCGATTGAACAGGTAGAAGTGTGTTAAATATCGATTATAAGATTTGTAACAGACAGGCAAACAAACAAAAAGTAAAACAAAGTTACAAACAAACAAAGTTAAAGAGAAGTGTTGTAAAAATCGACATAGAATTTATTATATGAACTAAATTGTGGATATTTATCATGGTTGCAATCCGTTTTATATGTCTTTTTCTCACCAATCCTCCTGGCTATATATATGCCATTTCATCTTCTCACTTAATTAATCGCATAGGGCAGGCTGGCCCAATGGTTACAGTTCGGACTTCGGAGTAGCACGAATGGAGCTGAGAGGTGCAGGTTCAATCCAGGCTCTGGATCGAAACTATTCTCCACTGGATCGAAAACTATTCATTAGTGCACTAGATCGAAACTAGTACACTGGAAACTTGTGCACTGGGTCGAAACTATTCTCCGAACTCGCCCGCGAACCCAGTGCACCAGTTTCTGGTCAGAATTGGCGCGAAGGCCGGGCTGAGGAGACTACATGGTGGGCCGTATGAGACTACATGGTAGGCCGTATGAGACTACACAGTGGGCCGTGGTATTGAGAACCGCGAGGCTTACAACAGGCTCGGCTCTTCCCTAAGAGTTTCTTCCCAAATTAGACTGGACTTTACACCACTCTTATATGAGATGGCGATATGAATTTTTCCATGTTTACCCAGCAATTTATTTAAAAACGGTGGGCACAAATAAAAAATATGTAAATTTTGTATTATATGAATCATGATGAAGGAAATTTCGAGAAACTTAGAATAATAATATTCATATTGGCTGCGATTTTTTATACTTTTTTCGAGATGTCAACAGATTATAATTTTTATTCTTCACTGACTGGTATACTCGGCATTTCTTTATCAGCCTCCTTGGTGCAGGTATTACCTACCAAAAACCAGTTATATACGATCGAGTAGGCTTATACGTGGAGTGAAAATCCCGTATATTGACTGTTTCGATGAAGGCTTAAATGGAAGGTATGAGGGGAAACAGGCGTCGTAAATTACTGAGCTGTCAGTCAACGACGGGCTGCATGGTGAAGGCGTACTCAATGAGGGGGTGAGATATAATTTATAATAATAATAATAATAATTAGTATTATTATTATTAGTATTATTATTATATTATTATTATTATTATTATTATTATTGTGATTATTAATATTATCATCTCAGACACCCTACATGTTAGTCATGTGTGTTTGCCTAGTCTCGAGTTGCGATAGCTCCTCAAAAGTTGTTTATATTGTTAAATGGGCCTTGCATGACCGATAATTTCCAAACAAACCAAATACCATCCAATTCTCCGGATGCCGTTAGAAGAATTGTAGGATTATATCCTACAATTCTATATCCCAGCGTAAAAGTTGCCTTCACACCAAACAGCGAGTACTCGACTTGGCCACCATCTTACATACATTAATTGATTTAATTCTTCCACATTGATTTCACTAACAGGAGTAGACAGCAGTTGCACTAATACCTACAGTTTAGTGGTGGCGGTGGCAGAAGCAAGTTTTTTTATGCAACAATAATGTATTAATGCAACAAGATAGTATCACGTTATTTTATTGTTTCGTGCTGTATCCGAGTGAACCGTCACTCGGAATGAGATGTCCCTCATGAACATCTCACTACAAATGAGATGTTCCATAATCATCTTCACATTTCTATTATCTATACTGAAATCGAATCAGCATATCTCTACAGCAACAAACAATATATATTTGTCAACATACTTAATAATATTATTATGGAAAGTTACGTCTGTTTTAAAAAAACTAATGCCGATAAAAAAGCACGGTTATTGCAAACAAATTTTCACTAGGATGTTATCATGTCATATGGAGAATATATAATGCTGATAATCTGCATTATGGTCTGCATATTGTGAACATTATAAACTATCTGATTTAAAATAGGGCAATCTGGCCATAATTTCTGAATACTTCAATAGATGTACACAGCTGTGAGTGACATTGTTGCTCAATATTTGTGGTAACTCAGGTTGTGCATAAACAGACCCTCGGATGTTTGGTTGGCGATCGGCATTCAGCTTCTTGCAGCTCAGCTCAGCAGTCAGCAGCTCTCAGTCTCAGTGTTGGGTTACCCGTTGCTGTGTGTGCATGTGGAGCCTGGGGCTAACTTTTCGAAAAATTTGAATCTTGTTCCTGTTTGGAGGGCAGTTGTAGTTGTAAACTTTTGTAGCATAATTTCTTCTTGTGTCGAAGATGCATAGAAGGAAACTTATTGTTAATGATCATTTATTTCTCAGTATATTTAATAAATATGATTTCGGTCGCAATAGTGCACTAACTAACTATATCCATTCTATTGACGCCGGCGTCAAATTGAAATGCGTGCCACATAATACAGTGTCAATAGTTGGGTCAAGTGCTCTATTTTCTGAGCGTTTAGTTTTGTTGGCAATCCACCTGCCATGACGCGTTTACTTCATCATATGAAGGTGTTTAATTTACGGTAGAAAATAATGGAAAAAGTCTAATATAGATTCAGAGACGACGATGCTTTTGCTGTGATAATTTAGTACTTTCGTTTAAGGGGAATCGCGAAAAAGGTTAAAAATTTAACTGGTCATCAAATTGGTATTGACACGTAAATTCTACCAGAATGATGATAGAGCTGAACACCTAAAAGCTTCTGTCAAAATACTCGTATTAAGAATTTTCTTGATTAGTTGATATTTCTCTCCCTATTTTTTTTTTTTTTTAAATTACGCTACGTACCTACTACTTTTGCTTATGCACGGAATATGGAAAAAATGACTTCACAACTCCCATTCTCCCAATATGGATTAATTGAAACTGGTAAACAATTGACTTACGGGGAGCTTTATAGAAGTGTTCAGCCAAATAAGCTGAAGATCATATGAATAATGCCGAACAATTGACGTGAATAGATCGTGGAACTTAGAAGAAAGAACACTAAATCGTTTCCTGTTATTTATTACTCAGGCCGTCATGTAGTTAGTTTATTCTGTTCATTTGGTGCCTTC